CATCCAGCGCCATCTGATATTTCCAGTCAATGCTTCTGAAGAAAATTCCAAGTAATTGCACCTGACTGAAACCATGATGAGGACAGTCTCTTTGATAAGACTTGAACCTGATCCAAGAAGCCTTAAAAGCTTCAGTAGGGCCTTGTGTAAAGGAAGCAATTTTCGTCCTCATGTCCTCTGATCTTGCATCATCATAGAAGTTATTCAGAAAGGCGTTCTTAGTGTCTTCCCAAGTGGTCAATGAAGCAGGTTCCAGTTGCTTCAGCCAATATGCAGCTTCTCCTCCAAGAGAGTAAGGAAAAAGCTTGCAGAACAGGAAATCATTGCTGACTCCAGTAGCTTTGACACTTGAAGCCAGATCCTCAAACCTCTCAATGTGATCCATAGGATGCTCATGAGGTAAACCATGGAAGGGATGCTGTCCAACCAGCTGATAGTAGACAGGTTTGACCTCAAAATCGTTCCTCTGGAAGGCAGGAGGTCGGATTGCAGCTCTGTTGGCATAGAACTGATCAGGTCTGTTGTAATCACCTAGAGTCCTCTGAACAAAACGCCCAGCAGCGTTATTGACAGCAGCAGGGACTCCCACGTTCTCAGCCACTTGCTGAACCTGCTGTTCAACAATGACATTCCCCTCTTGATCAATTCTCTGCCCCTCTTCGTTCCTCCTATTTCCTTCCCTGTCAACCAAGTGACCTTCTGCATCTTCAACCAAGATCAGTGGAGCGACCATTGCAGATTGCTTCTTAGCTTTCCTGTTAGTTCTCTCCAACCTAGCAAGCTCGTCGATGCTCAAAGTCACAAGCTCCTTCTCTTTGTTGCTTCTGGTTCTGCGATTAGGCATACACCTGAAACAGGAACAAAGAAAAGTAGCTGAAAATCAGTAAAGAAATAAAAACTTAGACAAAATCCTAATACTAAAAATCGATAGGCAGCTATTACTCCCCGGCAACGGCGCCAAAAACTTGATAGGGTCAGGTTTTACCCAAATAAAACTACTGCAAGTGCACAGCAAAAGCAGTTGTAGTACAAGGGGTTATCGAATCCCAAGGGAGTATGTAAACCACACTAGCGATTATAGATTCAGATTAAGCTAAGCGATAAATAATGAATGTAATGCAAAACAGTAAAATAAATGCAAGAGGGCGTTTTTATGCTTGTTCTTAAAGTTCAGAAGGCTAAAGGCGCTAAGTCAGGACAGTTCGCAGGTTGAATCTGAGAGTGTAGAATGCATGCAATCAGGAATGAATTAAAACCGTCTTGAACATGAATCGCGAAGATATAACTAATCAATTCTCATTGCAGAAGTTATCTATGTCTAAATCACAGAGTTTCAAATCTCTTTGCAAATCCTAACAACCTAAACATGCAGTAATGATCAGGTTCAATTGTTCACAAAACTCCTAAGCCAAATCTCTTTGTACTAGGGCGTTTTGCTCATCTAATACTAGTTCAGGTGATTAATAATGCTCTCACATCTATCAAAAACCTAGGGTTTCGAAATCCAGATGATGTGTCTAAGAAATCGATATGAATGCAAGCACAGATGAAGAACCAATGAATTTCCTATAAGTTTTTAGCAATTCTACAAACTCTTCTTCAACCTTTGAAAAGCCCTAACTTAACTAACAAACTACTCAGACATGGTGATTTGAGAAAACATCATGAAAAGAATAGATTGCATAAAAGAAATAAGAAGTATAAATAAAGGAGTTCAAAATCTGCTCTGAAGGAGTCTGATTTGTCTCTCCAAAAGCTCTTCTACAAATCTCTCTCTCAAGCTCTCTAAAATAATAAGATACAAGATATCTGCCAAAAGAATGGCTGAAAAACCTAATATACAAGCTAAAACACGATATGGGGCCTTTTTGCAAAAACTGGAACTTCTGGGCCAAAACTGCAATTTCTTCTCAATCTTTTAAAAACAGGCCACGACCTCCTTCCTTGGTGGGTGACGAGCGTCACCAGCTTGGTGACGAGCGTCACCATATGGCATACTTTCTTTTTCGAGCTAGGTACTTCGTGGCTTCAACTCAGAATGCTCCAAAAGGTTCCAAAATCTCCAATTATGCTCCAGACATGCTTTAACCTGCAAAGACTCTTCTAGGACTCTAAAAATACCAAAAAGACTCAATTAAAAGAACTTATATCATGGTTAAAAACCATAAAAACCATGATATATCAGCTTCCTTGTACTAGCTTGCAGAATTTCTTTTTGTAGATCTTGATGGAAGTGTGGTGGTACATATCTCTTCCTCAAGTTGAACCTCATGGCAGTCCAAGTAGTTATCTGATCATACCGGTGCCTTCTCCTTTCAGATACATCTCAATCCAACTAGGATAAGGCATGAATAGCACCTAGGAGTTGGGCCATGTCAATCGGTGCTCATTGCTCTCCCATCTATGGATCCTGTCTCTCATAAATGAAATAAATGGATTAAATGCAAAAAGAATCGACAAAGGGTTTAAACAAGAAGAGTAAAGCAAGATAAAACAACTTAGTGATACCAATTCTTTTGGATTTTCGTATATGAATCTATCAAATAAAAACAATAGATCTATGATTTTTCTGAGGATTTTTGATATGAAACTAAACAAAAACTAATGAAACATAGTGCAAAAGATGTATAAAATCTGGTGTAAATGGGTATGATCTTATATGACCGGTATGATGAGATCTATGCAGCTGGCCACACAGTACTCTCTGCTTAGATACAGTACGAAGAACAGGTGGAACAAGTGTATAGAGATCAAGTGACTTGCCAAACTGCTCTCTTCACTAAATCCACGAGATGAGATAGACAAGTGAGATAGATGGTTCGAATGACACCACAAGACTTATGATATAGTCTTGATAAGTCGATGAACTCAAAAATCAAGGGGTAGCCGCACAAAACTCAATGAGTTCGGTTTATGTTTTAAAGAAAGTTCTCTCTTTCTTGATAATAGGTAAACGTGAACTATATAGTTATATGTGGAGTTTTATTAATAGCTTTTCGACTTTGACCTTTTAGAGTTGGAATTGAAATAAAAAGAAAACCTAAAAATACAAGAAAAAAACCTAAACATTACATGAAGTTACACTAGAATGTTCAAAGAATAAAACCCTGCAAAAAAAGAAACCACGAGATATAAGAATTAAATGTAAATACTTACGGTTGCCTCTTGCATGTTTAGTCGATCATGGTAAGTAGTCTTGATCGCCAAGTCTCTCTAAGTGTGGTCGTTCTGAACCGACTTGATGAAGAACAAAGATGGGATGAGAGTTGTCTTGAGAAGTGGCCACTTTGCTTGGCTTGAATCCGGGCTAAACTTGGTGAGGCTTCGGGCATCTTTAAATACTTATAAGGTTCGTCACATATGTTAGTCTAGTTCATAAATCAGTTCTCTGGGAAGCCTTCCCGGAGTGCTTCTCGTAATGTTGTCATTCGCGGTATGGGGTCGTCCATAATGCATCTCGTAATGTTGTCATCCGCAGTACAGTGCTCGTACATAATGCTCATGTCTCCGGTACGATTGTATGTATCTTGAGTAATGGTGAGCCGGTTGATCATGGTGGTTAAAAACCTGGTGTAGAAGCGTTTAAGCTCTGATATCAAATCATTTAAGATCAAAAATATGATCTTATATGACCGGTATGATGAGATCCATGCAGCTGACCACACGACACTCTCTTTATATGCGGTACGAACAACTGGTTGAACGAGCGTATGGAGATCAAGTTACTAGCCAAACAGCTCTCTTCACTAGATCAATGAGATGAGATGGACAAGTGAGAATGACACCACAAGTCTTATGATCTAGTTTTGATAAGTCAATAAACTCAAGAATCAAGAGATAGCCGCACAAGACTCAATGAACTTGGTTTAGGTTTGAAGAAAGTTTTTTTTTATTGATAATGGGTAAAATTATGAAATACATATTCGCATGTCGAGCTTTATTAATAGTTCTTCAACTTTGATTTTTTAGGATCGAAATTGAAATAAAAATAAAATCAAAAATACAAGAATATAAACTAAAGATTACAAAAAGTTACTCTAAAATGTTCTAAGAATAAATTCCTGCAAAAAAAGAAAAAATCACGTGATATAAGAATTAAATGTATATATTTATCGTTGCCTCTTGCACGTTTAGTCGATTATGGTAAGTAGTTTTGATCGCCAAGTCTCTCTAAGTGTGGTTGTTTTGAACCGGCGTGATGAGGAACATAGTTGGGCCGAGAGTTAACTTGAGAAGTGGCCACTTTGCTTGGCTTGAATCCAGGCTAGATTTGGTGAGGTTTCAAAATCTTGATATACTTCTAAGGTTCGGCCCATATGTTCGTCTAGATCATAAGTCAGTTCTTCGGGTAGCCTTCCTGGAGTGCTTCTCCTAATGTTGTCATCCGCGGTACGGAGTTCGTCTGTAATGCGTCTCGTAATGTTGTCGTCGGCGGTATGGTGCGCATCCATAATGCTCATGTCTCTGGTACGATTGTTTGTATCTTGAGTAATGGTGAGCCGATTGATTGTGGTGATGAGGTCTTCAGTGTCTTTCAAGTTGATGAGGTTTTCCACAGATTTGTTAAACTCTTTTCGCATTGTCCTAATACCAGATTGCGTCCCGTACATGATTGAAATTGTGATGGTCGTAGATTAATCCGTACTGTTCCTCATCATTTCCATACAACTAAGCTCACACATTTGAGTATGGAAAGTCTAATTCATTGTTCAAATCTCAGATACATAATAAATTAGTTGTATAATTACCAAAAACATACTTTACAACAAAAACGCTAACTTTTCTTTGAAGGATTGGTTGAACAGTCTTCTCTAACATTTAAGACACGAGTTTTCTTTTTAAAAAACATAAAATTAATAAATTTATTTTCGAATATAACAAACTAGTATAAAAGATTTGGAGAAAATAGGCCTAGAAGAAAGTATACCATTATGTCGAAAACTACGTAATATATTCTAAATGATCATACAAATTTTTTTTGAATAATATAACATTGGATAGGCTATTATTACTTATTCCAAAATAAATATTCTCCATTTTAAAAATATGAAGCTGTTGACAAAAAAAAAAAAATAATAATTCCAAACCAAAACACACCTAAATTTTCCATCCCTGTGTTAGAAGATCAAAGATACCAAGTAAATAGTTCACACTAAACAAACCGAAAACCAAACCCCAAATCCCCACCTCTGCTCTAATTTTAAGCTGAATTATATTTGATCACTTATAAACATCAAAATGAATTGTACATTCAAGAGTTTTTGACAAAAAAAAAACAAATTACATTCAAAGTTAGTTCATGCTTCAGCATCATACTTGTTATAAACCAAAACTTGCTTCTCCTCCCACCATCTTTGTGCTTCCTTCTCTGAAAACCTCTTTCGACTGCAGCCAAAACAAGCAAACAATCACATTAACACTCAACCATACATTCAAACCTGACGTATAACTAAAATAAACCACACTTAATAATATCTTTTACCTAAACCGTACGCGTTTAAGCGTCTTCTGACCACAAGGCAAGGCCGTGAAAGTTATATATACACCAGGCTCGTATTGCTCCACTTGTTCTGCTGTTGATTCTTGTGTTCCGTTTTGGAGATGCCCTGTTCTTGTGATAGCAGGAGATGCATCTACTAATAGCCTAATGTTGTTCTTGACACATTTTTCTTCAACTTGTTTGGTTTCTGATTGTGAACAAGCCGTGGTGATTGGTGTGAGATATGGAATAGACATTGAATCATCAAAGATTGGTGAAACTTGAGATGGGTTGCATGCAATGCCGGTTTTCGGATTACTCGGTTTCTCCTTATTCATTTGAAGCTGCAAGCAAAGAGTTGATCAAAAATAAAACCAAGAAAAAGAGAACGATGAAGAAACAATGTTATATAATTTGTATATTTACCTTAGAAGCCATAGCTTTTATGATCTCTTTAGCGGCTTTAGACTTCTCGGCTTCTTCTTTAGCGACTTCAGAGGTCTTCTCGAGCTCTCTTTGGCATTCTTCTATCTTCTCATTACCAAGTTCACACTGCTTCTGTAGATTTCTAATCTACATTTTCATAAAATGTGGAAATCTTTAGGGGGTGTGCAATACGGCTTGGGCCAATTACTCAGAATGAAAGAACTGAATCGAACCGAAACCTTTAAACAAATCGAACCAGTGGTCATAAATATCCAAATGGTTTCTTGTTCAAAATATTTTGAATATCGATTACTCAAAATACAATTATATACCAGAAAATATTTATTTATTTATACTTAAAATAAAAATTAAAAATATAAACTCAAATATATTAATAATTTTTTAACCCAAATATTTAAATTCTTAATTATATATAGCAAAATTAAATATATAAACCAAATGTTATTAAAAACTAAACCAAATTTTATCCAAAAAATGAATATTTCGGATACCAAAAACCGCGGATGCGAGACTTACATGGGTCTAAAGTTAAACCTCCCTAACCGAGTTACCCCAAATCCGATAACTTAAAATCCGAAAGAACCGACCCGAACTGACCCAAGGAACAGAATGTGTAATATGATGCTACAGACCCTATGGTAAGAGAAAGTAAAGTACATTTACCTCGGCTTTTAGCCTTTCGATTTCTTCGATTAAGATCTTATTTGACTCAGAAGAGGTCGAAATCTTTGTAGAAGATGGTCTTCTTGACGAGACTGATAGATTCGTATGACTTGTCAAAGAAAGTGACATTTTATCGAAATGAAACAGAGTAGGAACAGAGACTTGTCCCCATCGAGGCTGTTCATCTGAAGACGATCGATTATCTCGCGGAAGATTCTGAATCCGATTCTCTGTTTCACTCTCTGTCCACTCATCAGATACCCTTCTTGTAACCATCTGCAACTTTGGAGTATAATCTTCCATCTTAACATTCATTGAAAACTCTGTTATTCTCCATAGATGATCGTAGCAAGAATCACAAACCCGTGAAAGCTTGCTTTTGTTCGGCGCCAAAGAAGCATTCACAGCTTTCTTGCTACTACATGCGTTGCAGAACAAGAGACCACAGTTATAACAGTTATGCTTCTTCCTCGTGAACCCAAAAGCTGATTTGCAAGAACTACAAGCCGTTTGATCAGTCAAAGAGATCTCTTTGTGCAAACATATCGCAGCCGTTAAATTCAAACCGCAAGCTATACTCTCCACCAATCTATCACCTAAAGACTCAACAAGAACCGGCGAGTTTCGATCTCTTACGTCTCCTAATCCAAGTTGACCGTTCGCGCCTTTTCCCCAAGTATAAACATTACCAAAAGAAGTTAACACAGCTACATGATGTGATCCTGAAGCAATCTCCTTAACGAATTGCCTCGTTAAGTTTCCTAACACTGTGTTTATCGACTTATCTTTAGCCCGTGGACAGCCTAACTGCCCGTGGATCGAGCTTCCCATCGTGTAAACCGTTCCCCGAATGCTCAAGGCCACCGTTAAAGTCCATCCACAAGAGACCTTAATGAAATCTTGATCAAGAAGCTCTGAAACACAAGTTGGCACGAGCTTTCTCTTGCTATCCACGTGTCCTAACCGTCCTTTATCACCATCACCCCAAGTAAACAGCTTCCCGGAGCTCTTGGCATTGTAGTATTTCCGGTCTATCGTGGTTTCCACTACTGCAGCCGTGTGCCACGGTCCACAAGAAACCGATATTACCTTCATTCGCCTTAAAGACTCGACTTCTTTCGGCTTAGCAACACTCTCAAGGCTCCCATGACCAAGAACTCCGAATGTTCCGCTACCGTAAGTGAAAAGCTGACCTGAAGTACACACAATCGCCGTGTGCCACGCGCCACAAGCGACGCTAGAAACACTCAAAGATCCTCCAAGAACATCGGATATTTTCCGAGTTAAGAACTGTCTTCCTGATTCTCCAATGGTTCCACCGTCTATTCCCCATAGATACAGCTCTCTGGATTCAGTCACAGCACATGTTTGATGATCCGAACAAGCCACTGATCCAACCGCAATACCCTCGAGTGATTCAACGCGTTTCGGATGGTCAATGTCAATGTTAGCTTTAAGTCCAAGCTTACCGCTGTTTCCATTGCCCCAACAAAACACTTCACCTTGTCTTGTAACCAGAGCAGCGTGCTTTGCGCCTAGAGAGATACTTTGAACATCAAACATGGTGGCTGATTCTAAAAGCTGAGGAGATAACGCATCGTTTTGATTCTTTGATCCTTCGATAAGACCACCTGTAGCTCCCCAAATCATTATGTCCTTGAGGACATTGGATCTTGCAATCGGTTGAGTTGTGATTGTAGGAGGAGGAGAAGCAAGAAACCTCTGAGAAGAATGCTTGCAAAGCTCTGAACTTGTTCGGTCAAAATCTGGGTTCCTGAGATTGTAATCTGTTTCATAGTAAGGAGAAACTGGACCAAAGCCATCAGAAGCAGCTGATTCAACGGAGTAGAAACTATCTGAAGAACATGACAAGCCGTTCGATAAACACCGTTCCTCAAGTAATGTAGATGGACTTCCACATAAACTGCGCATCTTCAAGAAACATAACAACAATACACATCAAGAATTGAAACAACATTATAAATGGTGAAACAAGATTCACGATCAAGAAACATAACAATACACATCAATAACTGAAACAATATTATGAATAATGAACCAAGAACAAGATCAAGAAAGAGTTTTAGTTACCTGAGTAAAGTCAGGGGTCTCTTCAAAAAGTCCGAGATTCTGTTTCCTACGGAGAAAACCCGCGGGGCTATTGATACAACTTTGAGCTCCCCTGCTCGTGCGTAGACTCGCCGAAGATCTAGCATTGTGGTGCTTTGTTATCACGGCTCTAAGGCCTTTAAACCAAGAGTCTGCTTGTGCTTTATCTTTGCATATCTACAATCACCACCAACAAAAACGTTGTCAAGATCCAATTATAGAAATGTCCTGAATTTGAGTTATACGTAAAATCGAACTCACGAGATCAAGAGTGTGTTCTCCATTTGCATAGATGAGTGAAAAAGACTGCTCCTTTCGATCCGGTTGAGCTTGTTTTTGAAAGTTTGGCTAAAGAACAAGAAGGCAAAACACTTAATTATCAGCTTCAATCTTGGAATGAACAAACAAAAGATTTGTTTATTCGCTTACATACCGTGATCTGTCCTCGAACAATCGTTATAACCGAGCTCAATCTCAATTGTCTCTCTTCCTGTCCTGAGTACCAAATCAGATACTTCTCATCCTTCAAAAGAAAAAGAAAAAACACAACTTTACCAAAACCCTTCAATGCTAAATGATTTGGTTTCTACATTGTAAAGGTAATTAGATTAATAGAATCAATGGAATCTACCATGGAGAGTTTGAAAGGACAGAATTTTGGGTTTCCTCTTCTCCGACATTTCAGAAGTTGTGCACCTTTCTTCAAAGCCAAGATTGCCTGCAACAAAACGATCAATCATCATTACCAATACTCTGAAGCACTGAATATTTTTTTTGCAGAAAGATCTCGAATTATGTGATAGGTCTTATACAGATCTCTAAAATAGTTCGAAATTAACTATGAAACAGAGTTATGACTTGTGAGATCCTGAGAAGTGATTCTAATGTGTTCAAGAAAACAGAATGTTTGAAGAGAGAGAACTGGTTATGCAATGAACACAGAGTGTGAACAGTAATCTCTCTTGCTCAAGGTAAAAATGGAGAAAATGCATCAATTTGTTAATTCCTATATTTAGGAAAATTGTGGGATAAAGTGGGAAACAGGAATCAGTGAGAAGACGAGAAGATTCAAGGTAGAAAAAAGAAATTTAGAGTAGACGAGAAAGCCCAGAAGAAATAAAAATTGAGAAACATTCATCAAAACCTGTTCATCTGTTCTGTCACGCGGTACTGTACCAGAGATTTGCTGTTCGCCCATAACTTTGTCAGAGAAGGAGAAGAACAAGAAGAAGAGAAAGAGAATTTGTGTATAAATAATTTTGTTTTTTTCACTTATATTGTATTCTCTCAGCTCGTAAGGTATTTTATATTCTTATATAAAAATGTTTTTTCTTAAGCTAAGTAGCAAAAAACCACTGTGTAGATGGATGATCCTAATTTCAATACTTTTCTTTCCTTAAATAACCTAAAATTCAAGATTCTCTCAATGCTTATGCCACCGAGTTTGCTTAATATTTCCAACTGTTTTCTTTTTTTTTTCAAAAATTTAAATCTGCTTACTACTCGGTGGCAGATTAATTATAAATATAAATACTCCAGTTGAAAAAGTTTGTGATGTTTGATACTTGCAAAAAGATTCATTTGTAAAACTTAATTATTATGGTCCCATGCCGAAATATAAATAAGGAGCAGAAACCAAACTTTCAAACTTTAAATAAATAAATGAAATTAACATAGCAATTGAGGTTATAAAACCATTATTGGTTTTGTTTACATTCTTTGGTTATGAAATATAAATAAAGTCGGTGACATTTTGTTGACACATATTTGACTGTTATATAAGTCGTAAATTTTTTATTTGAGTACTATTATCTTTCACTAAAAAAATCAAGATAATACATGCAGTAGTTGATCAAGACATATATATATAAGCTACAAAATTCAAGATAATTCATATTCAATTTTACAGGAATTTGTTTTTTAATTGTTCGGTGTTCTAATATTTGTTTCTTCGTTGACCACGAAAGGTTTACCAAATGAAATTCTATTGATATGGTTTGGAAACTAATTAATGTGTTTGAGGTGCATAAGTACTAAAGTAGCGAATCATAAGTTATATATATAACTCCAACTAATTTAATACTATCTATTAATAAAAATGAGAGGGGAGAATTGCACGTGTGCACAAAACCATATGGGTTACTTTCAGTTTTTTTTGTTTTCTTGATTATTACTCTTTTTTTCTTCGGCAATTATTCGTTTCTCTTTTTTTTCCTTCCGCAATTATTAGTTTCTTACTGGTTGCCTCACTTTTTTTTGTCCTTTTCCTCTTTTAATTTTTTTTACTTTTGTTATTTTTCTAATAGACAACTGGCATTAAGACAAGAGTACGACACACACCCAACATTGTCAACCCTTTTTGTAAGAAACCAAGCAAACACATACAAACTCAACGTTTATTGCATATCTTAGATTTTAGCAAAATTAAAGTTGTAACTTTCTGATTTTCATGTGGGCCGAAAATTTGATTGAAAATGAAAATTTTAACGTAACCTTCATTTCAGTTAGTGTCAAAAAGAAAAATCTTGATTTCAAATGTTTTCAAGAATGGAATCTTAACAACTATACTGTATTCAATGCATGACTTTTTTTTTATTCCGAGATTAATAATGATTATTATCATGGACACCCAACACTGCCAATCTTTTTTGTAAAGCTAAACAAACACATACAAACTCAACGAATAATGCATCTGTTGGATTATAGCAAAACTAAAGTTGTAACTTTTTGCTTTAACAAAAAAAAAGTTGTAGCCTTTTGATTTCATGTCGGCCGATAATATGAATTAAAATGAAGTTTTTACCCGATCTTGATTTCAGTTGGTAACAAAGCAAAACAAATCTTTGATTTTCGATATCTTTCAAGAATGTTGTTAAATAGTATACGTAGGAGTGTCAAAGCAGTTTAGTAGTTTTATATGTCCTATCCGCAGGCTCTTGTCCCAAATTGACACATACAAATATGTATCATGCGTATAAATGGTTTTATCAAGAGCTTCTCTTAGAAAAGGAAAAATAAAACATAAATGGCTCTAGCTATAGTATACGTGTTTATCACAAAGTCCCGAATTTAGTCCTGACACTTGCAACAAGTATTAATTTGTTATGATCCCTGGATTCAAAGAACACATGTGCCGCAGAAGAAAATTTTGAATTCCTTGGTCACAAAAAGAAGCTCTCATGTATTAAATAAAAAGGGAAGAAATTGGGTGGTCGATAATGCACCATATAAAACAAGTCTTGTTAACCAACGCAAAATATAGTCAATGACTGACCGTATCGCTTGAGTATCTAAATTAGTCCTGAAAATTTCGGGACGGGTACCCGGTTCCCACCCGTAGCTGTTTTGAATTTCCCGTTTTGTTCCCGTTCCTGTTTTAGAAAATTCCCATCCAGGATTATTTATTTTATACAAACGGGTAAGGGAATCAAATCGGAAATCCGAATTCCTGTTTAAAAAATTAATATTTTAAAAAATTACATAATTTTTCAAATTTTGTTGAATTTTACCGATATTTCCTAAAATTTTCCGAAAATTTCTAAAATTTCCCAAAATTTTCCAAAATATATGTTTTTAGATTGAGAGTTTGGGATTTCCGTTCTCGTCCCATACCCGCAGATTCCCATCCCGTACCGTAGTTTTCCGTTGTATTTTTGTCGGATTCCCTTATGGGAATCATTTCTGAATTCCCAAATTTTCTGTTCCCATCCCGTTCCCGTAAATTCCCTTCCCGAATCCCGAAATTTTCAGGGCTAATCTAAATGTTTGAAAAAGTAGCTGTCACACTGCCTTCATATGTAGTTAGTAATGTAATCTGAATCCCCCTGAAAAAGAGTTCACTGTTTGTATCAGATGTATGTACTTGAGATAACTTTAAAATAACTTATTTGGTAATTTTATTACAAAAAATAATCCTTCCTAAAATAATATATAAAAAGGGTTTATTAGTATGTTTTAAGTCTATCGTTAGTTTTTTAATAGTTTGCATTTAGTTTATCAATAGTCTACGTTCTATTGTATGATCATTCAGTATGTCAATAATCTATATTCAGTTTGCTATTAATCAATAAGTTAAAGTAGTTAGAATAGTGGCACTAATACTATAAAAATCATAAAAAAAGAATTATGTTTCTTAATTTTCCTTTAATGAGATATTCGCTTCACACTATTTTTTTTATTTTGAGTCATTTTAAAGTATTTCATCTATGTTATGTATTTCGTATTTACATTGTATTTCCAAAAGTAGTTTTATTATGTGGTTAGCAATAAAATTGCTAATACTAGGTATTTATCCGCGCTATGCTACAGGATATTTTTTAAATTTTTGTATATATTTTTAATATAATAAAATTATTTTTATAATTTAAATGAATATTATACTTATTTTTATTAGCTTAAGTTATGTATTTATATGTTTTAAATCTGAATAAATATTATATATATTATTTATTTTTTTTTTTTCAAAATTATAATTTGCTATCAAATTTAGTTAGCTAAATGTATATATAGGAGTAAAATATATAAGAATAAAACAATATATTTTTAGTACCTTTTTTTGCTAATGGTAAATGTAATATATTTTCTCCAATAAATTACCACTTGATCCTCTTTTGTAATTATATAAAGCAAAATACTATTTAAAAAAGATTTATTAATTAATATGATTATTTTAAATCATAAAATTTATTTATTTATCAAATATTTTATTATAAACATATGTTTGTAAAACTACCAAACTATAATTAGTAACATTCATATCAAAACCATTGCTATTGTTTTAGAACTAAATAAAAAATTATGTTTGAACTCTTAAAATATCGTTTTAGTTAAAGTTAAATAATTAAATTATGATTAATGTAAACATATTTTAACTTGGAAATTTAGGACAGAGAAATTTTATCTTTTTACAAAAATCGAGAAATCGCATTTCCCGTCAAAACAAAAAAAACTTCATTTTTCCAATAAACTGAGAAATCGTCTATTCCCGCCAAAACCAAAAAATTCATTTTTTCGTCAAACCTAAAACCTAAAATTTTATTTTCCGGCGAAAACCTGTGTTATTCCACCAAAGCCGAGAAATTACGTTTTTTTACAAAAACCAAAAAATTTCATCTTCTTCCAAAAACCAAAAAAAAAATTGTATTTTCCCGCCAAAATTGAAAAATTTATTTTTCCTGCGAAAACTGAAAAATCGTCTATTCCTGCCAAAAAGTCATTTTCTCGTCAAGCCCAGAATTACGCTTTCCTACAAAAACAAATAAACTACAATTTTTTGTGAAACCCAAAAATTGCATTATCTTCCGTGAAATTATGTTTTCACGTGAAAACTAAGAAATTGTTATGTTTTTATCGGTTCAAATTTTTGCTGATGTGTGAGCTTCTTATAACATAAAGTTTTTTGCGTTGTTGTCATGGAAGCATAGTTGATGTTGAGCCTACACTTTTTCAATCATATACGTCTATGTCAAACATACAGATAGCTAAATTTTTTTTATTATTTATATGTTGTTATTTATTATTTGGATTTGGTTTTCGCAAAAAAAAAAGAAAATAATGATTTATTTTTTTATTTTTTTATTTATTATTTGGGTTTGGATTTGGCAAAAAATAAAATAATAATTTTTTTATTTGCTGTTATTAATTATTTGGGCTTGGATTTGGTAAAAAATAAAACAAAAATTAATAGAAAAAATATTTGGGTTTTTAATGGGTTTAAGTTTAAAAATTAGAAATGTATTAATAAAATGTTTTGATTGGTGATTATTTTTGCTGTGGTGTCATGTTTATAAAGCTTCAAAAAGCTGAGGTGTCAAACCATGGAGAGACTTTAGTGTTATTGTTGTGGTGATTTACGCTGTTTATATTACATATCATAAGGATATAAATATAATATAATAATATCTATCTAACAATTTATTGTGTAAATTAAATTCAAAATGATAAAAATAAAAATATTATAAAAATATTGGCGTTAAGAAAATAGATGACACTCTTTATATATAAATAAATAAAACAATTTAAGGAAAAATAGAACTCTTTGTAAAACAAATTATAATACTTTAGAAAACGATACTGTCTAAATTAAAGTAGGGAGTTTTCTTATTTGTTGATATATGAGTTAATTTTAGCAAGCACTTCTAAGAAAATCATTCATTAAATTGATAGTTTCCTGGAGACGACCTTATACATTGAACCGATGCATGGAATGTACGTATATACGTGCAGATCGAAGACGAACACACATGCCCATGCATCCTCGAACACTCACACACACACCTCCACATATATACATGTTTAATGTAGGTCGTCGATAGCTGTCTGTACTTGGATATGCTAACTGCCTTGGATTTGTTCTATTCCTGTTATTTGTCATTTTATCTTTCACCTAAATCATTTTTAATT